AGAGAGAGAGAGAGAGAGAGAGAGAGAGAGAGAGAGAGAGAGAGAGAGAGAGAGAGAGAGAGAGAGAGAGAGAGAGAGAGAGAGAGAGGCAACGGGGTTGGGTTCTCAGATTCTTCACCCTGTTTTTTTTTGTTTTTTTTTTAACTTCAATTCTGTTTTTTTTGGGCGAAGCCGCAACAGTAATCCAGTAATATTTACTTCCAGTAGTAATGCTCTATACACATGCAGCTGTTCATAAACAAATCAGCTGTTCGAATCCTTTCAGATACATCGTACCAGACTATCAGTTATGTTATTATACGCAGTTCTTTTTCATCGTACCAGATTACCAGTTATATAGATATATATATAGATAATTACTTAGTGAAGTGGAAATGGACTCGTGTGACTACGGTCTTCCCCCGAATACAACGTACGGTCATTATAGCTGAATTTAGACCGAAAGATACGCCAAATTCAGCTATAATGACCGTACGTTGTATTCGGGGGAAGACTGTCGTCGCGACGACAGCGGCAATGACCGACAGATTGATTACGTATTGGTGGAGTCAAATGTCGAACAATCCTTTCCGTACAGTACAGTCCAGTCATGGTGCGCACAACACTTGTTGCGTTGCACGTAAACTCTCTGGGATGATGGGATCAATTCTGTTTTTTTTTTTTTGTTCTTTTTCGTTGTTTTTTTTTTGTTTTCTGATTCGCATTTTGACTCTTTTCTTTTCTTTTTTTTCTTCTTTTCCTTTTCCTTTTCCTTGCGCCCACCCAACTGCTCATCTCCGACACGACATGTGTCGCGTGTCGCTTGCGCCACGAGCTTACCTAATCATTGGAAACATATTGAACAGCTCCGATCCCTTTTGCGCCCATCCGTTTTGCCCCGATCCCGTCTCCTTGCTTAGCCTCGACTCCCTCTCCCCCCCTCGTCGTTAAAGAAATATTACTAATTAACGTGTCTATACCCGATACAATAACAATGCGCTGTCATCTTGATGAGTGCCTCCGATGGGAAAAAAGAAAGCTCTTTTATACGTTCGCGCTGAGGGTGCGTGGTGTTCAGGTTTTAAAGACCGAATGTGTGACGACCAGTTCGATTTTTTTTTTTTTTTTTTTTTTTCCTGGACGATTAGAGTTATAACTTTTATGATTTTATCTCAATGAAATTGAAAGGGAAAAAAAAAAAACAGAAAAAACTGTGTTCGTCGGTTAAATCAATCAGCAGAGTCAGTGGTTTTGACAAAAGAATCCAATGCCAAATGGATGCCTGAGGGCATGATTATACTCACAGATCAGGTTTTCTCTAGCCCGAATCTGTCGCGGAATTCGGACCACATTCCGAAGAAGGGTTCCAACAGTGCGTGTGCTTAAGCGCTGAGCATTCTTTCTGTGAGAAATTATTTCTGAGGGCGTACACAGTGCACGACAACTTTTGCAGACTGAATTTGGCCATAAGCGCGTACAGATTCAAAAATGTCCTTGTGTAAGTGTATCCTCCGCCACCCCTCCTCCCCCCCCCCCCGCTGCCCTCCTCCAGACTGATTGGTGTACTGACGTGAACCCATGTCTTCTGTCTATTCGGGGATTAATTTGTAGATGGCGGCCGCAGCAGCAGGTGGGCGTTCTGAAGAGGGTGCCCTCATCGCCATGATTGCGGATGAGGTAATTTCGCATGAGGTCATCCCTCCTCCCTTCCCCCTTACTCTCCTCTCTTCCCTCTTGTCTTTCCCTCACCCCTCCTCCTCCCCTTCCTCCCATCTTTGCCCGTTTTCCTTTCCCCTTCCCGCCACTCTTCCCGCCNTCCCTCACCCCTCCTCCTCCCCTTCCTCCCATCTTTGCCCGTTTTCCTTTCCCCTTCCCGCCACTCTTCCCGCCACTCTTCCCGCCACTCTTCCCGCCACTCTTCCCGCCACTTTTGCCGCCACTCTTCCCGCCACTCTTCCCGCCATTTTCCCGCCATTTTCCCGCCATTTTTTTTTTCCGCCATTTTTCCCGCCATTTTCCCCGCCATTTCCCCCGCCATTTTCCCCGCCATTTTTTCCGCCATTTTCCCCGCCATTTTCCCCGCCATTTTCCCCGCCATTTTCCCCGCCATTTTCCCCGCCATTTTCCCCGCCATTTTTCCCGCCATTTTTCCCGCCATTTTTTCCCGCCATTTCCCCCCCAATGGTGTTCAGGTTGTGCCTCTTTCCTCCCTTTCTTCGACATTCGGCGGGTTTGTGTTTTGTTTGTTCTTTTCTTTTTCATGGCGTGTTTTGTTCGGGGTCTTACTAATACTGTTGTGTGTGTTGCTTGTCATTTTTTTCTGTCTTATCGCAGGATACGATAACCGGGTTTTTGCTGGCTGGAGTTGGGCACAAGGATTTTCGGAGGAAAACAAATTTCCTTGTTGTCGATTCCAGTATGTCTTGCACACACCGCTCATCAAACCCCCTTTCATCTCTCATTCCCCTCTTCTCTCCTCTCCTCTCCTCTCTCCTCTCCTCTCCTCTTTTCTCCTCTCTCCTCTCTTCTCTCTCTTCGCCTCCCTGTCGTGCTGTCGCTCATCGTCGGAAATCCCCTCTCCCCGCCAAGTACTTGCTTTCATGCCGCACATAGTTTCCTCAATTGGCAAGCATGTACTTTCTTCATGTGGGTGCTTTCGTTTTTTCTGTTTTTTTTTTTTTTTAATAACTTTTTTATGGTTTTTGTTTTGGTAAATGATTATTTTCCTTTGTTCTGAGTGGCATTTTGCAACTGAAGGGGAAGGGGGGTAGCCCTTCACACAATATGAGAATAGCCACTGAAGGGTTTTGAACTCTCCTAACGCTTGGATCCAGAGTTGTAGGTGTCTCTGTCATCCAGCTATTCAGCCAGGTCCTCGATATCCACGTGTTTTTTGTTCACCGGCTGCTTGCCTCTTCGTCTGCTGAGGGTCGTTCGGAGGGTAGCATTTGTGAAATTGATTTGGACTGCCGAGGGTCGTTCGTAGGGTAGCATTTGTGCAACTGATTTGGACTGCTGAGGGTCGTTAGGAGGGTAGCATTTGTGAAATTGATTTGGACTGCTGAGGGTCGTTAGGAGGGGCATTTGTGAAATTGATT